TCGTAAAACATTTTCCGATTTTATTGCGACCTATATCCGGCGCACGCACTCAACGGAAGCCCGCAGTAATCAGGTCAGAGTTATATTTGCGGTCCGGCATGTTGTTGATGTTGATCGTGCAACCGGAGAAGGTTGAATTGGTGAAAAATCCAGGCGTAAAATTGTTTGTTGATCTCACAGACACTTGAGACAGGCAGCTGGTGTTAGGGATCAAAGCAGAAGATACCGATAAGTTCGGTAGTGACACTGTTAAGTCGCTCGGAGGTGCAAAGACCAACTTCAGTTATTGTCTCATAAGATGAAGCTGCTATTGGCAGTACTTTAGTAGTAATATAGAAGGGCTTTGCCACACCAAATGTAAATATTAATGAATAAACTGGCTACTACATGTGATTATGACTAGTTAAAGAATGAGACAAGGATGTGGTATTAAAACAGATTACTTCTCCAACCTGTTGACATGGCAAACAATAAATGGTAATTATACCAGGTCTACTTTTAGTACTTTAGTACCAGTGTAAAAACCAATTATCTCACTGTTCCTCCTACCTTCCTTCCCTCCAACTTCCTAAACCCCTGCTGAACAATTCCTTGGGAAATATTAACTAGTGGAGTAGGGGTTGGGAGATAGGACTATACACTGGTAGTACATAATGGATGGTACATGTACTCGTAACAGCTATAAGTTTGGTATGTGATCAGGACTGATTACGCTATAATGTCTCTCAAATGGAGGCTTGTTTGCCATGTCCTAACCTAGGTATTCTGTCTTTGCGTATTGCAGAGTTATCTGCTCTTGTGAGCAGGTATTGATTGTTACGTCATTTGTTTGTGAGAGTAACGTCATCAATTTTTGAGGAAATAACGTAATTTTCTCACACAAACCAATGAAGTAACAATCAATACCTGCTCACAAGATAACTCTGCAATACGCAAAGACTGAATAAGTTCCTCAGGGTAGTATAAAAGTTTCACTATAGAATAAACTAGATCATTTCTAAGATCCCAAAGGCACATTTTATATTTAGCACTAGTTCAGACTTGCATACAGATAGTAATGTCTAGTGAACATCTTTGAATGTGGAGAACATGGACATACAAGTTCTTGTGAAGGAAAAAGAAATATAACAAGTACATGTAGGTACACAAGACTGACTGCTTGACCTTTCTGCCTTCTTGGGATTCTTCAGGCAGAGAAAAGAAGCCAATAAAGACAGAAAGACCTAGCGGTCAGTCTTGTGTACTTGTTATAGAATATACATCTGGAATTATTTTTTGCACAGATCTAGACTGGATTACTTACCTGTGATCAAGCATCTCAATTGATGTATTCTTTACTTAAATCTCAATTCATGTATTCTTTACTTAAATATCAATTAATGTATTCTTTACTTAAATCTCAATTAATGTATTCTTTACTTAAATCTCAATTAATGTATTCTTTACTTAAATCTCAATTCATGTATTCTTTACTTAAATATCAATTAATGTATTCTTTACTTAAATCTCAATTAATGTATTCTTTACTTAAATCTCAATTAATGTATTCTTTACTTAAATCTCAATTAATGTATTCTTTACTTAAATCTCAATTAATGTATTCTTTACTTAAATCTCAATTAATGTATTCTTTACTTAAATCTCAATTAATGTATTCTTTACTTAAATCTCAATTAATGTATTCTTTACTTAAATCTCAATTAATGTATTCTTTACTTAAATCTCAATTAATGTATTCTTTACTTAAATCTCAATTAATGTATTCTTTACTTAAATCTCAATTAATGTATTCTTTACTTAAATCTCAATTAATGTATTCTTTACTTAAATCTCAATTAATGTATTCTTTACTTAAATCTCAATTAATGTATTCTTTACTTAAATCTCAATTAATGTATTCTTTACTTAAATCTCAATTAATGTATTCTTTACTTAAATCTCAATTAATGTATTCTTTACTTAAATCTCAATTAATGTATTCTTTACTTAAATCTCAATTAATGTATTCTTTACTTAAATCTCAATTCATGTATTCTTTACTTAAATCTCAATTCAAGGTACCTGGTTGGAATCCTAGTCTTTGGATTTGCAAGATAGTATTGCAATTTTTCTTGCGAGAAATAGGAATTTTCATAAAATGGGACTCATCAAAAATTTGAAATTAGGATGAGCCACTGAGCATGTGCTTCAACCTATTTTTTGTTGTTACATATATATCACCTGTCTCACTTAATATACCCCCAGTATGTTACAAAGTCGTGTCCATTTACTAATTAATATATTAATTAACCTGTGTATTCGCTTTATTCTGGGCAGCACAGGTGAATAATATATTTGTATTCTACTTCCCCTTAATCAAAAAAGAATCATCCTTGTTTCCGACATATACATTGCATGGCCCAGGTACAGCTTAAAATCAATCCAGATTTTTAAGCAAAACAAACGACAATAAAATGATGTCATGACTTAACTACTATCATCATCTTATTTGTTTATTTTTTTGTTAAATTCATAACAATAACAATATCAATAGATTAATGCTTAAATATACACATGATTAAAAATCTTCATGAATTCCTTTTTTAGCTCACCTGGCCCGAAGGGCCAAGTGAGCTTATAACATGGTGCGTCGTCCGTCCGTCCGTCCGTCCGTCCGTCGTAAACATTTTACTTTAAACAACTTCTACTCAGTAACCAAAAGGCCTAGGGTGATGTTATTTGGCAAGAAGCATGCTGGGATGAAGGGCTACCAACTTTGTTTAAATAAATGACCTTGATTTATATTCAAGGTCACAGGGGTCAAATATGTTTAAAACCTTTAAACAACTTCTTTTGAATAACCAATAGGCCTTGGGTGATGATATTTGGCCTGTAACATGCTAGGAGAAATGGCTTCCAAGTTTGTTCAAATAAATGACCTTGACTTATATTCAAGGTCACAGGGGTCAAATATGTTCAAAACATTTAATTAACTTTTGCTGAATAACCAAGAGGCCTAAGGTGATGATATTTGGCCAATAGCATGCTGGGATGAAGGGATGCCAAGTTTGTTCAAATAAATGGCCTTCATCCATTTTCAAGGTCACAGGGGTCAAATATATTAAATTCCTTAAACAACTTCTTCTGAATAACCAAGAGGCATAGGGTGATGATATTTGGCCAGAAGCATGCTGCGATGAAGGGCTACCAAGTTTGTTCAAATAAATGACCTTCATCGATTTTCAATGTCACAGGGGTCAAATATATTAAATTCTTTAAACAACTTCTTCTGAATAACCAAGAGGCATAGGGTGATGATATTTGGCCAGTAACATGCTGGAATGAAGGGCTACCAATTTTGTTCAATAAATGACCTTGATTTATATTCTAGGTCACAGGGGTCAAATATGTTTAAAACATTTAAACAACTTCTTCTGAATAACAAATAGGCCCAGGGTACTTAAATTTAGCCAGTAACATGCTGGGATAAAGGGCTACCAAGTTTGTTTAAATAAATGACCTTGATTTATATTCAAGGTCACAGGGGTCAAATATGTTTATAACCTTTAAACAACTTCTTTTGAATAACCAATAGGCCTTGGGTGATGATATTTGGCCTGTAACATGCTAGGATAAATGGCTACCAAGTTTGTTCAAATAAATGACCTTCATCCATTTTCAAGGTCACAGGGATCAAATATGTTAAATTATTTAAACAACTTCCTATGAATAACCAAGAGGCATAGGGTGATGATATTTGGCCAGTAACATGCTGGGATGAAGGGCTACCAATTTTGTTCAATAAATTACCTTGATTTATATTCAAGGTCACATGGGTCAAATATGTTTAAAACCTTTCAACAACTTCTTCTGAATAACCAAGAGGCCTAGGGTGATGATATTTGGCCAGAAGCATGCTGGGATGAAGGGCTACGAAGTTTGTTCAAATAAATGACCTTGATTTATATTCAAGGTCACAGGGGTCAAATATGTTTAAAACATTTACACAACTTCTTCTGAATAATCGAGAGGCCTAGGGTGATGAGATTTGTCCAGTAACATGCTGGGTTGAAGAGCTACCTGGTTTGTTCAAATAAATGACCTTGACTTATATTCAAGGTCACAGGGGTCAAATATGTTCAAAACATTTAATTAACTTTTTCTGAATAACCAAGAGGCCTAAGGTGATGATATTTGGCCAGTAGCATGCTGGGATGAAGGGCTACCAAGTTTGTTCAAATAAATGACCTTCATCCATTTTCAAGGTCACAGGGGTCAAATATGTTAAATTATTTAAACAACTTCCTATGAATAACCAAGAGGCATAGGGTGATGATATTTGGCCAGTAACATGCTGGGATGAAGGGCTACCAATTTTGTTCAATAAATTACCTTGATTTATATTCAAGGTCACATGGGTCAAATATGTTTAAAACCTTTCAACAACTTCTTCT